CCACCCACCCACCCAGATAGGTCTCTGGACTCTGGATCCGCCACTGTACATTGATTGAGTCACTGCTGCTGTTTAGAAATACAAGTAGATCGGAAATGACTCCCTTTTTTATTATATGAAAAGAGTACATATGGTATAATAGAGAACTGTATAAAACTGTAAACAACATAAAGCACATCGTTTTATAACTCCGTTTCTCAGCAATTGCCATGACACTGTTCACCAAATGTTACTGTCTGGCAGGTTAAAGTTATAACTTCTGAAACTATCTTATGATGAACCTTCATAGTATCGGCTTCATTTAGGACTAACCAATGGCCGACATGACATCTACAAACTTCCCTTCTATAAAGTAACAACCTTTCTTTTTCAAATAGGTACGCTATTATATAGAGCTAACAAAATGATTTCAAAACATGACTGAATTATACGTAAAGGTCAGATGGTATTGAGGCAAATCTTCATGATTTTGAAAGGGGCGGAGCATATAATGAACAATATCCACTTCCCGTGGATTTGAGTGTGACCGATACGAAAGCCTTGGATATCTAGCTATCAAGATTTATCATCAAATTAAAAGGATCGATGGAACTCTGTACCCTCCCAACACCCTAGTTCAAATTGGATCTGGATTTCAGTCTCGGAGACATTTGCTAGGCGATTCAAATTGTCCGGAAATAAATATGTTTCAAAGCAGCAACCCCACATTTGATAACTTCTAGATATCACTGGATTCCTGTATGAAAGAACTTGCCTTATATGGAATTGGTGTACATGCTAAAACCAAGGACCCTGTGTTACCTGGCGAGGAGAATACATTCTGGGAATTGGGAGTGTTTATTTTCAATTCGACCGAAGGATTACCAAATGCAGTGTTTTTAGAGGCATGGAGGAACACAAAGACTTGGAAGCGGAACAGTTCAAAATTGAAACGGATCACGAAAACGGATAAGAATACATTCTTTATGAATTCATAGTAACCAAAAACACTCAAGGAGGACTGAACCACCGGAAAATAGCACCAAAAAAGGTAAAACATTTTGCTAGCCCAGAAAATCCCAGATATTTGGTAAAATTATATTCATTGAGCCGAGCCTTTCCCTTATTCTCGGAAAAAGGAAACTTTTACAAGAAACCAATGCCATTGTCGGATAAATTCAAATATCCTCGATTCAGTGCTGCAAATATTCTACAATGATGCTGGTATTGATACAAATGGTAGAAATATTTCAAATCATAGCGGATGCGTCACATGCTGTACTACACTGTATAATCAGGGGTTTGGTGATAAAGTTGTAACTTCTAGACCCTAACACTGTAGCTCTGCTGTAAATCTGTACCAGCGTGAACTCCGGCCTATGCTCAAGGATATTAGTGTAAAAGATGTGGATTAATTAGGTTGCCTTAGAAGCGTCAGCTGTAGGAAATTTCCCTTTAGCTCAGCGGTAGAGCATCGGGCTGGAGAGCCAAGGGTCGTGGGTTCGAGTCCCAGCGACGGCANCCATACTGGAAAGAACTTTATTCCATTAAAATCAAGTTCAATTGCACGCGAGACCACCAGCAATGCAGTGGAAAAGGACCCGGACGAATCTAAGGAAAATGTGCTTGAATTGTGAAATGAAATGGACCTGTCTATGAAAAATGATCGAATTTGAATATTTTTATCGTCATGATTAAGATTTGTTTTTGTCATTTAAATTATCTTTTTCATATGAAAGAGAACAAGAGTGTCGTCTCCTCGACTGTGATTGACTGGTGTTTTACACCACAGGATTTCGTGCAAAGCCCTGTGTTTTACACCTGCCAGTCACAATCGAGAAGAGATCCATCCACATGTCTTCGTATACAGATGTTTTCCTCTTCCTCATGAAGATCACTTTCTATAAGATTATGTCGGGAGTCAATCCTTGACTCCGATTTGTTGATATAAACGAAAAAGCCAAAATCGACGTCTAAATAAATATACTTGCATTGGTGATTAAAGAAGTCTTGACATTGACTGATGAAATTACACGTCATTTTTTCCCGCGAGTAACGGCTGTCACAAACCTTAACATGATCTTCGTCCTCTCCTGCCCAAGCGGCCTTATTAGGATTGCTCGTAAATCCTGAATTTACGTCAAAATCGTCTGCGTCTGCAATAGATCAAGCATAAATGAAACATCAACAATTTAGAAGAAACGCAACAACAGAGAAAATATGTAATACACATGTGATTACCCCATTCGTCCGACATATTGGTTTTTGCGACGGAATACTGAAATACCGTAGGTCCGAGACTTTGATTTTTTTTAATCTACTTAAGTTGTATAAGGTTTTATTTGTTAAATTATGGATTTTAACATGAATTCCCAATAATTGTGGTATAAAACAATCGTTTAACTTTTTATTAGCAATAATATTATTGGTAAAATGGTGTACCATGTAAACGTGATATATTGTACCGGACGAAAGAATACTTTTTTTCTGTGTTTTATTTTACATTTCTCAACGATTTCTGTATTTTATATCCCCATCACGGACCTGAGGAATTTGTTATAAAAGGAAACAGCATATTCCTTTTTGTAAAAGATTGTTGAATGATATCAGAGATATTTACTGTAGATAGTTCATTTCGTATTTTTAACCTTTTCCTGTTGATAGTATGTCTCTCTATTTCTAGGCAAACTTGATTTGGCATGCCGTTTAATTTTGTACCGCATATATTCTGGCGAGTCTGCACCAATATTAATGCAAAATGACTAATACAATGCCTGGGCATTTAATCTTTCGGTAGTAATTTCTTTATCCAACAATACGAAAACAACAAATTGTTTCAGTGTGATAAATGTCTTATTCAGGTTATATCAGTGTCAAACAAGACATACTTTTCTAATTATATATATATATATATATAATCCACCGGGAATCGAAGCGACCGGTAAACCAAAATCAAGTTTACCCGAATGTGAGGCTACTCGAAAGATTTGTTTACAAATGGAGGATAGTTTCACTACGCACACGATATTTTCGTTTGATTTTTGATTCAGGTTAATAGAAACACAAAATGAGCGGAAAGGCACCTCATAAAGCAGGGAATGGAGCAAAACCAAAACAGGTGCCCTTATGTGGATGACAAGGAACAGTAACATGAAATTGCTGTTTCTTTAATTATTTTGTAACGCAACTAGTCGTTTCGCCCTAATAGATCCCGTTCGCCCCGGGTCGTTTCGCCCTAAAAATATATTAAGGGTGATTTTTTAGTCCTGTTTACTTGTGCAGGTACACTCTGCCGATTGAGCTATATATAGCTATGAAAACCTATAGAGCTATATATTCACCTATTTCAATTTTCATAAAATTAAAGCAAAGTCGCATAAAACAATAAGGTTTATGCTAATGTTGACTATAAAAAGCATACATTAAGATGTTTCTTTTAATTTTTCATAAATGTAAAATTTCCGATTTTTTAACATCATTATTCTTTAAAAACAATACTTATATTTAATGACCTAATGATACAATCTTTAATAGCGACTTTGTTTCGTTTTCCTTAAAAAAGAAAATCACATGAAAATAGCTCAAAAGACCTATTTCAGATAGGTCAATAGAGCTATTATAGGTCTTTACAGCTATATTTAGCTCAATCGGCTGAGTGTACTGGACCTGTTGTGTATAGCCTGAGTTTCCTCTGGCCCCGACACCAGACTTAGACATTTTGACAGATAGATGTCTGATGTGGGGCCCGAGCACACTGCTATATAAAAACGTGGAATTTTCCGACACATTTGGTATCTTTAGGGCGAAATCACCTGTAGAATGAACAGGATTTAGGTTGAAATGACCCGGATCAACTAGGATCGGTTGTGAAAAATCTGCTTACATGTGTCCAAGGGTAAACATTTTATCTGGAGCACTGTATACGATGTTGCAAAAAGAAAAAAGGCAACCAACAGACTGGAATTCAAACCCAGACCTCAAACCTCTTAGACATTCTAACCTACATTTGCACCTACACATTGCATTGGGATGTTTAATGGGGTTGAAAAGATAACTGTAACAGGAAAGAAAATTGTATATGTGTACAAGTAATGGCCAGACCAAGATTTCAGCCATGGGTCCCCTGGACCTCTATACTTTAGATGGCTAAAAAAACTGGAGCGGCTAAAAAGATTAATTCTACCTCCTCTGTGCAAGAGGTGATGTCATGGAAGTATACAAGATAACAAGTTGTTTCTATTATAGAAACGGATCAGATTTTCTTAAATTGTGGCAGGACCATTCCGAAAGACTTGGTACCGGGGGGCATTCCAAAAAACTTAACCCACAACATTCAAATATTGAAATAAGGAAAAACGTCTGGAACAGTCGTCCAGAAGATGAGACTATCAACACCATCAATAAATACATTTAAGAACAGGCTCGATAAACACTGGATTGATCAGGAAATTATTTATAGCTACAGAGCTAACATAACGTGTTAAACATGTGATGTCCATACCCGAACTTTCATGTATGTGTGTACATGTATATATATTAAAAAACGTGTTGGAGTCTGGTGGAGAGAATCATATAGATCCTGTATCGGAAAATAAAACTAAACTAAACAAATTAAAAAAACACTAGAGGGGTTGTGTTCTGTTAAAACACATTAACTGTGCTAACAACAACACAAGGTAACACACATATATATATATATATATATATATATATATATATATATAGTAACAACACAAGGTAACACATATATATATAATAAATACACAAGGTAACATATATATATATATATGTATATAGTAACAACACAAGGTAACACATATATGTATATAGTAACAACACAAGGTAACACACATATATATATATATATATAGTAACAACACAAGGTAACACATATATATAATAAATACACAAGGTAACATATATATATATATATGTATATAGTAACAACACAAGGTAACACATATATGTATATAGTAACAACACAAGGTAACACACATATATATAATAAATACACAAGGTAACATATATATATATATATGTATATAGTAACAACACAAGGTAACACATATATGTATATAGTAACAACACAGGGTAACACATATATGTATACAGTAACAACACAAGGTAACACATATATATATATAGTAACAACACAAGGTAACACATATATATATATATATATATATATACAGTAACAACACATGGTAACAACATTTGGCACATTAAATGTAAATGTTTATAGAAAGCTGTTGCAGTCTATTGGAATCAAGGGAATGTATACTGTGTTTCTTCTGATAATAGTTATTGGTAATCTCTTCTCTGAGCTTATTTTATTAACCAATGTATTCCATTAAAAGAATCTTGAAAGCATAACTCTCTTACTTCTAATATGTATCTCAAAATCTTTTGTTTGAAAAGTGATTTAAAGCAATAGAACTGATAATTTGTCGATTTATCGATGGATGGGATCAGAATGTTTACTCAAGAAGAAGCTGACCCCTATAGTGGGTTGATGGACAAACGTTAATTTGCTACCAGACAAACATCATTTTTAATTACACTACCTTGTATAATGTGTATCATTCATAATTTCACTCCAGTAATATTCATCAGCCTCATAGGCCTTCTTATTCTAAATTAGCTCAAAATTTACAGGTTAAATTTCTAAGTTTGCTTCAATTGTTTCTAATTGTTAACATACATATACTTTTAATGATTTTTCTGTAGAATACGGGTCAGAGCAGTCGTACATCTAGAGGAGGGGCAGCTGGGAATCAGGCTATGGTTGTGCGAGGGAGAGGGGGACAGGCCATGCAGCTCCCTAAGGGAATGCAGCCAATCCCTATGAGAGAGGAGGGAGGAATGCTTATACCAGAGGGTGAGTTAATTTAAACTCTGTTACTGTGATTTTGCCTGAATTTTAAGACTTTTGTAAAGGTGTTTGGGATGTAGATGCAAGACACAAGATACAAGACATTTTATTTATAGTCGTATATATGAAAACAGAAACATTAGCTCTGAAGAGCTATCATTACGACAAAACATAAGAAAAAGTATCACAGCAAGGTAACAAAGATATAAAACTACTATTGCTAAGTATGAGAGAATTGATTAAAGATATTAATTAAAAGTACATAGATAAGAGCATAGGAAATTCAGTAGGTTGTAATTATAATGTAGCTTTTAAGGACTAACTTCATCAAATGTCTACATATCCTTTTAGGGCAGATAGAATAAAGAGATCTTTACTCATATCAAAAGAGTCAATGTCTCTTTAATTCATTGAAAAGTTTTGATATCAATTTTTTTTTAAATGTCAATAAATCTTGTTTTAGTTTAGTTAGGAAAGAATCTTTTTCATAATGTAAAACAAGCTGTACCTGTAGTTATCAGATTTTGTATTTTCAGAAATCTTATCAATCCTTTATAAAAAATTATCAAACAAACTATGCACTAAAAATAAATCCTATTCCGATATATTTACTGGTTCATTTATAGCGTCTCAAATCACAGCTTTGACATCTTCTGATTTTGAAGAGAGCTTTGATGTAGTGGTAAGTAACAATTGTGTGTACAATGAATATGATATTGACTGATGATGAGTGAAATCCTAAAGATGTTGTCTGTCATTATGTGTAAGCTTTGTGCGTTGTCAGGTTACACAATGAGGAAGATAGAACCAGCCAAGAATTATGATGTGGTGTCATTTGCTAAGGCTATGAACCAGGATTTTGCTCCAAGATTGAAGAAACTATTTGACCCTGAGACAGAGGCAGCTCTCGAGGCCCAGAAGACAGGTAACCAGGGGACGCCTTGGATATTATATAGGGGACAGGTAACCAGGGTGACACTGTAGATATCATATTGGGCACAGGTAACCTGGGGACACTGTAGATATCATATTGGGCACAGGTAACCAGGGGACACTGTAGATATAATATTGGGCACAGGTAACCAGGGGACGCTGTAGATATCATATTGGGTACAGGTAACCTGGGGACACTGTAGATATCAAAGGGGACAGGTAACCTGGGGACACTGTAGATATAATATTGGGCACAGGTAACCAGGGGACACTGTAGATATCATATTGGGCACAGGTAACCTGGGGACACTGTAGATATCAAAGAGACAGGTAACCTGGGGACAATGTAGATATCATGGGGGACAGGTAACCTGGGGACAATGTAGATATCAAAGGGGGCAGGTAACCTGGGGACAATGTAGATATCATGGGGGACAGGTAACCTGGGGACAATGTAGATATCATGGGGGACAGGTAACCTGGGTAATACTGTAGATGCTATGTTAGGGGACAGGTAACCAGGATGACACTTTAGATATCATATAGGGGACAGGTAACCAGGGGACACTGAAGATATCGTATTGGGCACAGGTAACCTGGGGACACTGTAGATATCAAAGAGACAGGTAACCTGGGGACAATGTAGATATCATTGTGGACAGGTAACCTGGGGACAATGTAGATATCAAAGGGGGCAGGTAACCTGGGGACAATGTAGATATCATATTGGGCACAGGTAACCTGGGGACACTGTAGATATCATATTGGGCACAAGTAACCTGGGGACAATGTAGATATCAAAGGGGACAGGTAACCTGGGGACAATGTAGATATCATGGGGGACAGGTAACCTGGGGACAATGTAGATATCATGGTGGACAGGTAACCTGGGGACAATGTAGATATCATATAGGGGACAGGTAACCTGGGAACACTTTAGATATCATATTGGGTATAGGTAACCTGGGAACAATGTAGATATCTTAGGGGACAGGTAACCAGGGGACAATGTAGATATCATATTGGGCACAGGTAACCTGGGGACAATGTAGATATCATAGGGGACAGGTAACCAGAGGACACTGTAGATATCATAGGGGACAGGTAACCAGGGGACACTTTAGATATCATATAGGGGACAGGTAACCTGGGAACACTTTAGATATCATATAGGGACAGGTAACCAGGGGACACTATAGATATCATATTTGACACAGGTAACCTGGGGACAATGTAGATATCATAGGGGACTGGTAACCAGGATGACACTTTAGATATCATACAGGGGACAGGTAACCAGCGGACCCTGAAGATATCATATTGGGCACAGGTAACCTGAGGACACTGTAGATATCATATTGGGCATAGGTAACCTGGGGACACTGTAGATACCATATGGGTCATAGGTAACCTGGGAACAATGTAGATATAATATTGGGCACAGGGAACCAGGGGACACTGTAGATATCATATTGGGCATAGGTAACCTGGGAACAATGTAGATATCATAGGGGACAGGTACCCAGAGGACACTGTAGATATCATAGGGGATAGGTAACCTGGGGACAATGTAGATATCATAAGGAACAGGTAACACCAGGGGACACTGTAGATATCATATTGGGCATAGGTAACCTGGGGACACTGTAGATACCATATTGGGCATAGGTAACCTGGGAACAATGTAGATATCATAGGGGACAGGTAACCAGGATGACACTTTAGATATCACATAGGGGACAGGTAACCAGGGGACACTGAAGATATCACATTGGGCACAGGTAACCTGGGGACACTGTAGATACCATATTGGGCATAGGTAACCTGGGAACAATGTAGATATAATATTGGGCACAGGTAACCAGGGGACACTGTAGATATCAGATTGGGAACAGGTAACCTGGGGACAATGTAGATATAATATTGGGCACAGGTAACCAGGGGACACTGTAGATATCATATTGGGAACAGGTAACCTGGGGACAATGTAGATATCATACTCGGAACAGGTAACCAGGGGACACTATAGATATCATATTTGACACAGGTAACCTGGGGACAATGTAGCTATCATAGGGGACTGGTAACCAGGATGACACTTTAGATATCATATAGGGGACAGGTAACCAGGTGACACTGAAGATATCATATTGGGCACAGGTAACCTGGGAACAATGTAGATATAATATTGGGCACAGGTAACCAGGGGACACTGTAGATATCATATTGGGAACAGGTAACCTGGTGACAATGTAGATATCATATTGGGAACAGCTAACTAGGGTAATACTGTAGGTATCATATAGGGGACAGGTAACCAGGGTGGCACTGTAGATATCATATAGTAAATAGGTAACCAGAGGACACCTTTGATATCATAAAGGGCACAGGTAACCTCGGGACAATGTAGATATCATAGGGGACAGGTAACTAGGGTGATACTGTAGATATCATATTGGGCACAGGTAACCTGGGGACAATGTAGATATCATATCGGGAACAGGTAACCTGGGGACAATGTAGATATCATATTGGGAACAGCTAACCAGGGTAATACTGTAGGTATCATATAGGGGACAGGTAACCAGGGTGGCACTGTAGATATCATATAGTAAATAGGTAACCAGAGGACACCTTTGATATCATAAAGGGCACAGGTAACCTCGGGACAATGTAGATATCATAGGGGACAGGTAACTAGGGTGATACTGTAGATATCATATTGGGCACAGGTAACCTGGGAATAATGTAGATATCATAGGGGACAGGTAACCTGGGGACAATGTGGATATCATAGGGGACAGGTAACCAGGGTAATACTGTAGGTATCATATAGGGGACAGGTAACCAGGGTAATAATGTAGATATCATAGGACACAGGTAACCAGGGGACCCTGTAGATATCATATTGGGAACAGGTTACCTGGGGACAATGTAGATATCATATTGGGCACAGGTAACCAGGGTAATAATGTAGGTATCATAGGACACATGTAACATGGGGACAATGTAGATATCATATTGGGAACAGGTAACCTGGGGACAATGTAGATATCATATTGGGCACGGGTAACCAGGGTAATACTTTGGATATCATATTTGGCACAGGTAACCAGGGTTATACTGTACATATTATATTGGGCACAGATAACGAGGGGACAATGTAGATATCATGGGGGACAGGTAACCTGGGGACACTGTAGATATCAAAGAGACAGGTAACCTGGGGACAATGGAGATATCATGGGGGACAGGTAACCTGGGGACAATGTAGATATGATATTGGGCACGGGTAACCAGGGAAATACTTTGGATATCATATTTGGAACAGGTAACCTGGGGACAATGTGGATATCATAGGGGACAGGTAACCAGAGGACACTGTAGATATCATATTGGGAACAGGTAACCTGTGTAGATATCATATTGGGAACAGGTATCCTGGGGACAATGTAGATATAATATTGGGCACAGATAACGAGGGGACAATGTAGATATCAAAGGGGACAGGTAACCTGGGGACAATGTAGATATCGTATCGGGAACAGGTAACCTGGGGGCAAGGTAGATATTATAGGGGACAGGTCACCAGGGTTATACTTTGGTTATCATCTTTGGCACAGGTAACCGGGGTTATACTGTAGATATTATATTGGCCACAGATAACGAGGGGACAATGTAGATATCATATTGGGCACAGGTAACCTGGGGACAATGTAGATATCATAAGGAACAGGTAACCTGGGTAATACTGTAGATGCTATGTTAGGGGACAGGCAACCAGGATGACACTTAAGATATCATATAGGGGACAGGTAACCAGGGGACACTGAAGATATCATAGGGGACAGGTAACGTAACCAGGGTAATACTGTAGATGCTATGTTAGAGGACAGGTAACCAGGGGACACTGGAGCTTCATGTAAGTAAAGGATAGGTAACCTGGCTGACACATTAGATATCACAATAGATAAGGGACAGTTAACCAGGGGGACACTGTAAATATTTCATGTAAGACAGAGGACAGATAACCAGGGGACATTGGAGCTTCATGTTAGATACAGAACAGGTAACCAGTAGAACTATGTAGATATCATACTAGATTGGGGACAGGTAAATAGGGTAATACTGTAAATGCCATGTTAGAGGACAGGTTACCAGGGAAAACACTGAAGATAACATGTTAGATACAGGACAGGTTACCAGGGAAACACTGAAGAGAACATGTTAGATACAGGACAGGTTACCAGGGAAACACTGCAGATAACATGTTAGATATAGGTAGGCTACCAACTGAAGAGAACATGTTAAATATAGGAAAGGTTACCAGGGAAAAATTAAAGATAACATTAGATAAGTTACAGGTAACCAGGGGGACACTGTAAATGTCACATTAGATAAATTACAGGTAACCCGTGGGACACTGTAAATGTCACATTAGATAAATTACAGGTAACCAGGGGGACACTGTAGATGTCATGATTGATAAAGAACAGGTACACTGTAAGCAGGGGAACATCTGTGTTAGGTTTCTAAAGATATTAATCACATTAATAGTAATATGCAGATGTCCAGGTCATATTTTGTGTGACCAAACACTGTAGTAAAGTTATTCTTCTGAACACAGGTATCTACATAGGATGGCGTTGCCCGGAGTTTAAACATGACTGCCAACGTGTGAACAAGATGTCCAAGTGTTTCTGTGGGCACCTGTTGGGGGAACATGCCCAATATACAGGTAAATATAATAACAGGATTCTACAGGTAGCCCTATCATCAGGATTTCTACAGGCAACCCTATAACATCAGGGTCCCTTAGGTACACCTGTTTAATCTTTAGGGGCATGGGGTGGGGCTCTGTTTGAAATTTGTTCTCGCTATATTTCAAGTACTGGATGGATCTTTCTGAAATTTCATATGTACCTATAGCACCTTCCATGGAGTGCTATATCTTTACTTCATACCAAATATTTTAAACATATTCAGGTGAGTGATACAGGCCCTCTGGGCCTCTTGTTAGATTATGTGAACATACATGTTATTTTTTCCCCATTATTTTCTGTGAACATACCTGTTGTATATTATATTCTGTAAACATACCTGTTTATTTTTTATTTTTCTGTAAACATACCTGTTGTTTATCCTATTCTGTAAACATACCTGGTTTTTTTTTCTGTGAACGATTAAACTGGTTGGACTACATTTGTTCGTTTATTAAATAAGTAATCTGATGCTGCTTTCAGGCGAGCCTTGACAAAGCCTTGCAAGGCCTGTATAAACATTTGCAGGTCCACCAGGATTTATACCAGAAATTGTTACATCTATAAACAGACAAACCGGTTGTTCCGCATAAAGGAACAGGCCCCTGTTAACGTTGTTTATTATATTCTGAAAACATACCTGTTAATATTTTTCTGTGAATTTACCTGTTGTTTATTATATTCTGTGAATTATCATACCTGTTTATTATACTCTGTGAACATACCTGTTGTTTATGAACTAGTGTAGCTTTAGATTATTCCTAAAGTTCTGTACTTTACCTTGCAGCAAAGAGTCTGCGGGTTAAGTGTGCACAGGGGGGCTGTAAGTGTCAGGCTTTTGTGTGGACACCTTCGCGACCAGAGGACGTGGGCGAGTTCTGGCACCAAAGACGGCGAGACTTTGACCCTAGCACGTGGCGTGCCAAGTGTCGTTGTAAACACACACACGAGGAACACGACCCAGCTGGCTCACGGCGCTGTAAATCTAGAGGTTGGTCTTCTATTTCAGTTGTGTTAATTATTACATTTGTCACTATAATATTACACTTTAGCACAAATTTACCAGGGCCATTTTTGTTCATTCATGCCATGATAATTTCTTTTTGGTCGTGGCTCACCAGAAGACTGTGTCAGACTTTTAGATCAGTCCATCTGTCATAAAAAATCTACTCTGGTCTAACCTGCTACAGGAATTATAAGTTGATATTAAAAAGATCAGTCACTAGCAGTACATATAGAGTTATATCCCATAGACCATGATAAGGTTGGTTATGGAGATTATGATTTTACTATTTTCTTAGGATGTTCCTGTGGACATTTCGACTCTAACTTCCTGTGTGCAGCATGTGACAAACACTGGGAGATTCACGAGACATTCTTTGAGAGCGAGCAGGACCGCATTGAGAAAGGACTTCCCTATGGTTAATATATTATTTATTTCCAACATTACAGATAATGTATTGGTTGTATTTCAAAAGAGAGTTAACAGAATGATCAAAAGTTTCAAGCAGGTTTACAACCAGGCTAAATTTTCATAAATATATATATAAAAAAATGTCATTACAGATGTACATCTTTTGATAACCTACCATCTTAAGTTAACTTTAATATGTATTGAAAGTTCCAATATATATATACATGATCTGTATATCATAAAGTAATATCATAATGTTTAGGTTAGTATATTTAAACATTGATAATGCTAGCATAAGTCATATCATGTCTTCCACTAGATTCCAACTCAACATTTACAGAGTATGACCGAAAATTGTCCTACAGTTTTCAGAGGTTCTTATATATTTAACCGATTTCAATTGAAGTTTTGAGATTTAGTTTTTATTTTTATGTGATAAAGGTTTTATTCCATTTCATATCAGCAAATCAATGTTACTTAAATAAATATATAACAATCCAAATCTAAAGAAAACTGTGAAGGTTACATTTCAGCAATGTTGATGAAGATAAACACTAGATTAATCTCCCGAATATTTGATAAAAAAAGTGTTTTTGTTTTTTTAAATAAATGGACATGTATCACTGTTCTGAGATTTTTTAATGACAGGAGAGATGTACTTACCGTTTGCCGAGATGCCAGATCTGCGTAACATCGCCTTGACAGGACGGGAGGACGACGACTCGACCTACCTGGCCTTGACTCAGGGGGAGGGATCCATCCCCCAAAGCAACCGCCCTGTCGGCAACAATGCTCCTGCAAACTTTGGGGGCAACACCAAAAGTGGCTTCAAACCAGTCTACGACTGAGGATAGTGTTGTACTAGTGGATTATAACTCTTGCCTTTTGTAGGATAGTGTTCTACCATATAGTTGATACATGTATATGCAGATAAAGTATTCAGTATATATAGGATCATACATGAGTTTCCATTTCATATGAGATTTATGAAACAAGTCTAAGAACTTTTCAATTTCACGAGCCGGAGGTAGGCTAAAATGAAAATTTGTGACGAGTTTCATAAATTTCATATGAAATGAAAACGAGTGTAAGATCCTTTTTATCACATAATCAAGATTTGTGGCCTTATTCGTGTAAAACGACAACTTTCATGCAACCTTGAAATGTAAAAAGCCGCCATTTTGACTCAAGTGCGTAAGTCTGTGACGTCATGTACCTGTGCTAGGCGTGACGTCACCATTGAAGCAATTGAAACTTGCAACCAATGACAGGGCTGATAGGTCATATTACTCGTAATAAGACATGGGTATATTCACTGGATAACACAGTACATTATGTGATATAAGTACCTATCTAATAGGGTGCTGGTACAATCAGTGGTTACTGTATCAGTCTATTGCTGATGTATACCGTCTTGTGTATACCGTGGATCAGGATATATCCACAGAGATGATATCTTTGCTATTTTGCAGTTGAATATTGTGATTGCGAAAATGTGATACGTAGAATTATATGACAAGCATAAAAATGAGCTGTGATAATAAACTTCAACACCGGATCGTCGTCATGTAATAGCATGCATGTGGTTGTGACGATTCATATACATAAAGAGTAATGGTGTTTGAAAATACGTTATATCACACATTTAATAGTTTTTTTGATGATTTCTTTAACAAAATACAGTTACATGTTGCTGCTCAATGTGCTGTTATGAAGCCTATTCTATTGGCTATTTGACACTTATGATGCCGAGTGTCCCGTCTCTGTGCTAAGAAACCTTGAAAAGATTGTTCATTCACATGTCTAGATCGCGCATTTTGGATCAAAATCGCAAAAAATATAAGCCAGTGTAAATAATCCACTATATGGTGTTTTAAGTCAACAACTGATTTACACTATCCTATTTGTTGAATATCAGTTGTATAAGTCTACGATGGGTGGACACCAGTTTGTATAAGTCTACGACTGGTGGACACCAGTAAGTATAAGTCTACAACTGCTGGACACCAGTTTGTATAAGTCTACGATGGGTGGACACCAGTTTGTATAAGTCTACAACTGGTGGACACCAGTTAGTATAAGTCTACGATTGGTGGACACCAGTTTGTGTATCCGTCAACAGTTGATGTACACCATCTTGTGTATCTGATTACTTGTTTAAAGTACCAGCTAGACCATGAACTAGTTAGGTATCCATTTAGCTGTGTAAGCAAGCCTAGAGTTTTGAAAGGAAAGTTACACCTGAACTTGTTCCTAGTCAAACTTGTATTGTAAGGTTGGTAAAATTGAATTCATTAGTAATAAGAATATGGTGCTCACAAATAAGATGTATTTATTATAAAGGCAATGTCTTTGGACGCAAACTGTGATACAATTACAGAACCACTGCCACATGCTGTATTCACTACTCACTAGTGACCGGGTGTATGGATACAGGCCCTGATAGACAGAAGTGGATGTTCTGTATGCACTACTCACTAGTGACCGGGTGTATGGATACAGGCCCTTATAGACAGAAGTGGATGTTCTGTATTGAAGAGGATCCGTTGTAAAAGGCTCTAGACAAACAAGAGCACAGAATATATATTTTAAAATGTATTTTTCTGCTGAATACACCCCAGTTGACCTTAAACGGACATTTTTATCTTTACTTGTACAGGGTAGCAGCAAGTCCTGTGATATCTGTGTTCAGTTGTTTATTAAGTTACAAAGCACTTATTTTCCTAAAAAGAATTAAAATTCCGTCCCCGACATTCCTGTGATAAGTCTTTATTTTATATATACGTTTAAGATAATTTGTGTGACTTGTACATTCCATGTTTACTTTTATATACTGCATAGCCACTATCCTATTGTTTCAAATCAGTAATTTAAATCACTCTTACTTTTAAGTTTTAAACAGTTATCAATTACTGTCCCAACTTGACAAAAATGAAAATCTACTTTTTGTGATCCAAAAGAAACTACAGTGTAGTTATTTATTACACAAAAATATCCTTTTTTTGTTTGTTTTAAATGTTTCGCAGGAATTGTAAGCTACATGCATGTTTTACATTTAATTGATTTGTAACTATGAAAATGGCTACCACCAGTGGCTGTGATATTTACACTAGAACAATTGTTATTACTGTTTTAATTTCTACATATGTTATTCCTATTTATTGTAAAATTGTTTATATGAGATATATTGCATTTCCCAATCATCATCTGAAAACTTTTATATACAACCAAGTCTCATTAATCCAGCCACCACCAATTCAGTTGTTTTACAATGCAGTCAATGTGTTAGCCTTCTCCTAGGTCTCTGTTATCAGCTGTCCCACAGTCTCACCAGTTTTCATGGATTAGTTTTGTTTATTTGTGTTTTACGACCTAATAACAGCTATGGTCATTTAAGCACGTGCCAGGTTTTGGTGGTGGAGGAAAGCCGGAGTTCCCGGAGAAAAACCACGACCTACGGCCAGTACCTTGTGACTGCCCCACGTAGCTGTAGGTTTCGAACCCGCGACCGTGTGGTGGAGGGCTTGTGGTAGCAGAATATCAGATGCCTTAACCACTTGGCACAAAGAGCCAGTGAGCTGATGCTATAGGGTCAGATATGTTGAAAAATTGAAACGGCTTCTTAATAGAACTACTGTGCATAGAATAACGGTAATGCTGTGACCACTATAGTCCCTTGATTGACTGATCTTAGAAGTTCAGCATTAAACATATTTCTGCTAACACCATTAAAAAAAAGGTGAACAATATATGCCCAATGGCCCTCGGTTTCATATTGGTGGAGGACAGAAACACTGTAGCTGAAAAGGTTCCATTAGCACTCCCACTGTCACGTCATTTTCAATTTGTATTGACAAGCATTTTGTTGTTACAAATTGTTCTTTAATTAATTGATATATACTGTATTGTTATAGCCTATACTTATTCATTATATCCTACACATTGCACAGCTTTGCCTTAACCCTTTAACCCCTATGTAACTTCAGTAGACTCGACCATGCATTGATCTGGATGAGTCCATTATGGTCTACAGTAGTGAAAGGGTTAAACTGTATTATCTATGATACACTGGTCACCAGTGGTATGGCTATGTATTGTAAAGCAATCAGTCTTTTGTAAACAATCTAACAGAATTTGCAAATATATCTTTCCAAAAGCTGTTATATTGGACAAAAATCTAAGATACTGTTTTTCACATTTTACATCTGCCACGTATTTATTTTGTTGTACTACATGTGTGTTACTATACTATAAACCTTATGCTCAATAAATGCAGTATTGCCACAACATGTGTATGTGTTTATTGTTCAGTTTATTACTCGGGAGTTTGTTCAAAGATTTTTGTTTTGTTTCTGAATCACTGTTTGATCAATCAATCTGTTAAATCTCAAACCTTTTTTGTCTTTTTTTTTTTATAAGTACTTGTACCAATTATACAAGTGTTGCCCACCGAAACTTAAATCCCTGCATGCATCCTTTTACCTCACCTGGTACGAAGGACCATGGTAAGCATATGCCATACCGCAGTGTCCGTCCATCCGTCGTCCGTCTGTCAACTTTTCTTTTAAAACGCTAATAGTCCTGAACGGCCAAGCAGATTTTGACTAAATTAAGTCTGGAGCATCTTTAGGCCAAGGGGACTCAATTTTGTATAAACAGTGGGTGGGGCCCCCTATGGGGGCAGAGGGGCATAGCGGAAATAGAGGTAAATCTTTAAAATCCTTCTTCTACCATAGGGATTAAGGGATTTCATCCCAATTTGGTCTGGAGCATCCTTAGGCAAAAGGGACTCAATTTTGTATAAACAGCGAGTCCTAAGGCATTCGATCGAGTGTGAGATAGGGGGCTGGAGGTGAAAATAGTTAGTTATGGAATATCGGGTAAGTTATTGGAATGGTTAATTAATTATGTTACAAATAGATCTCAACAAGCATTTGTTTGGAACCAGTAAATTCTCTGTTAAGTCAACTAATGCAGGAGTACCTCAGGGTTCAGTCTTAGGTCCGTTGTTGTTCAGACCTTATATTAATGATATAACAGGTAATTTAAAAAGCTTTTTGCAGATGATACTTCTCTATTATGTTCAGATAAATCCCCACAAACATTAGAACAAAAAAATAATAATGATTTAAGAAATATTCAATTGTGGGCTGATAAATGATTAGTTAAATTTAATCCTGCAAAAACAGAGGCTTTTCTTATTTCTATTATAAAACTAGATCACCTGATTGTTGTTTTAATAATATCAGTATATAGACTTTGTTGATAACCATAAACATCTGGGAGTATTCATCGATGCTTACTGTTAGTGGAGCTATCATATTGATGATATTTGTAAAAAAAAGTAGTCAAGCATATACCCTAAACCGCCGTAAAGTAAATAAGATATAGTTTATTGCTGTGAAGTTTGGGATGGTTGTACTCTTACTGATACAGATAAGTTAGAAAAGTTATTGTATTGTCACCGGTTTACCTTCGTATGTTAGTAATATATCTAAACACTATATTCCCCCTTTGTCGAAAATGCTTAATATAATCTTAGAAACGCCGAAAACTACAACCTGTCTAACAACAGACTAGAGTTATCTAACATGTCCTACTTTCCTTATTAGACTCTGGAATCACTTAACTTTAAGTATTAGACCTAGCTCCTCTTTTTCATCCTTTAAAATACAATTAAAGACAAACGTTTGCCTCATGTACCCAGTTACTTTTTCTACGGGGAAAGAAAAAACATCTTGCATACAAAACTAAGAAACCGTTCTAGCACTTTGAAAAACGATCTTTTTCAAGTTAACCTGATGGTTGACCAACGTTGTATGTGTGGCTACCCTATTGAAGACACCTTCCATTTTTTTTAGCTAATTATGTTAAACAGAGAATTAAACTTTATCGTGAACTGAATGAATACACACCCCTTACATTGAATCTACTTCTTTTTGGAGATATAACAATTTCGGAACAAGAAAACAAAATTATATTCATGCATACTCAGCAATTTATACATGACTCGAACAGATTTTAATACTCTAAATCGACATCTTTATTAATACATGTATCTTACTAATACTCATACAAACAAGTATATATAA